TACTCACTTTTGTTGCCAGCAGTTTAGACATTAATAGCTTTGTGTTATTATCATTTTGAGAGAACAGTACATTTAAATGGCTACACAAGTACACAGACTCAAGATAATAAAAATATAGACATATAATAAAATATATGTGACAGTTGTCCTCACTTTTGTGAGATACTGTATTTTGAAGAATAAAAAAAATAATAATAATAAAAGTAGAATAACTACTCACTGGTCTACCTGGAAGCCCAATTTCTCCTTTTTGACCTGGAGGGCCATAAGAGCCCTGCAGAGAAAAAGATTACAGGGTTGTGCCACTCAAAAACTGCCAAAGCCATTCGGTAACAATGTGTACAGTGAGTGTGTATAAACGGTGTACATACTGGGGGTCCAGCTGGGCCCGGGGGTCCTATATCTCCCTGCGGACAGAACAAAGAGTGATGTTAACATCACGTAGCCCTATATGAATGCATTGCTAGTTAATGTAAAAGAAGAAAACATGATGTCATAATTACCGGTTTCCCTGTCAGGCCCCCCAGGTACAAAGGTCGCCCATCTTGACCCATGATGAGACCCGGCTCTCCTTTTTCCCCCTGAACAAATGACATGTATCCTTATACTTACAGAACACACTACTCACAAAAAAAAGTTTGGAATATTGGTTTTTGCAGGGGAAATTGCAGGATTAACCTAAAATGCAATACGTTTTATAGGTGAACTTCATTTGCTTTCTTTCAACTTTTGAATGCACATGCTCAAGAAGTCAATGTTTCAGTGCTTTTTCTTCGCACAAACAGCTGAACACCAACATTGACAACAGGTGTTTGGTTCAAGAATGGACCAATACATTTCCTCATTTCATTAGTAGTGGAATATAAATGTCCCTCTTCATCATGCTGTCTACATACTGACTTCATGAGACTGAGACAACCCGAAACAAATGATCAACAGAACAAGGCTGGAAACAGGAAGTGGCCAATGAGCCTCGAGTGTCACAGGGTGTCATCAGTCGGTTGCAACGGGAAGACCGGAAAAGTCACGGAAAGGCA